CTCTCTCTCTCCCCCTCTCCATTTCTCTCTGAAATCAATAAAAATATATTTAACTAAATAAATAAATAAATCTCCCTTCCACCCTGGCTCACAGCCACCCAGTTTCTCAACTTGCATCATTCCAGAGATATTTTATAGTGCAGCAGGGTTAGATGACTTAGAATGTGAGAATTGCTAAGGACTTTGAATGGAAGGCTCTGGTCCTAACATCTGCCCCTATTTTCAACTGAGGAAACCTGTTTCAGGCCTGAAGTAAACAAGCCACTGGCCAAGCCGCATGGAGATAAGAGACAAAGTTCATATTCTTGGAATCCATCCACCTCCCGCCCCCACCCCCAACACACACATACACACAGAACTCTAACAAAGGTGACTCGGGTAATGTCGTTCCTTCTGCCCTGTACACTCTCCACGAGCCTTCCCCGTCCCTAGCTAATTTGGCTATCCATATTCATTTTATAATCAGTTTGTCTCTAAAAACATCTCGCTGGAATTGTGGGATTGTGTTAAACCTACAGATCAATTTGCGGAGAATTGGTATTTTAACAAGATCGAGTCCTCCAAACCATGAACACAGTATGTCTGTCCATTTATTTTAGATCGTCTTGAATTTCTTTCTTCGGTGTTTTAGTTTTCTGTGTGCCAATCCTATACATGTTTTGTTAGATTTCTACCTAAGTATTTCATTCTTTTCAGATCAACTGCAACTGATATGGATTTTTGTTGTTTTGTGTGTGTGTGTGTCTGTGTGTGTGTGTGTTGTTGTGTTTTTTTTTATAATTTTAGTTTCCAATGATTTGTTGCTAGGATATAGAAATACAATTGACTTTTGTGTGTTGACCTTGTATCCTGCAACCTTGCTATTTTATTATTCCCCACTTTTTTGTAGATTCCCATAGGGTTGTCTACGCAGACAATCATGCCATCTGCGAATGGGGACAGTTGCTCTTTCTTTCCCATCTGTACGCCTTCTATTTATTTTTCTTGCACTCGTTAGCACTTCCAGTAAGATGGTGAATATCAGTGGTGAGAGCAGATGTCATTACTTTGTTCCCGTCTTGGGGGAAAGCAGTCACTCTTTCACCACTCTGTTAGTTGCATCTATCTATACGTGTTCACTGTAGATTTTTTTCGGTAGAAGCTCCTTTTCAAGTTGAAAAAGTTCCCTTCTCTTACTGGTTGCTGGTAGCATTTATCATGAATGAATGTTGAATTTTGTCGAATGTTTTTTCTGCATCATGTGGTTTTTGTTAAGCCATTCGTATGGTGGAATCAATCTATTGATTTTGGAAAAGTGGAACAGCCTTTTGTTCCTGGGATAAATCACAATTGGTTGTGGTGTGCTGTTCTTTTTACATTTAATGTTGTTGGATCTGATTTCTTAGATGTTTTTTTTTGTTGTTGTTGTTGAGGATTTCTGGGTCTGTAGTGTTCTTTTCTTGAACTGTCTTTATCTGGTTCTATAAAACAGATGTGTACTATACACTTTTCTGAGGTCTTGGATGATAATTTTACTATTTTTAATCATCATGAAACCTGAAGAGTAGTTTTATCTTTGCTTTTCTGCTAGACTTTGGTTACAAGTCTTTGACCAGGAAGACAGCTTCCAAAGATAACAACAATCTTCCTAAAGGAAAATGAGGCTGTTTTACAAGGAGCCACAGTGGCTCTGGGAATGCAATGCAGTGAAACCCACTACTTTACCACCGTCACCTGCAAAGCCCCTCCCCTGCCCAGGCACATCCCCCAGAGAGTAGGACCCATGAGGAACTGTGCTGATTGGCTTTGGATGGATACAGGCCATGGTTTCCATCAAATAAAAGATATAGTATTACCCCACCCTGAATGCAAATACTCATATCTGTCTCTGAGTTACCCAGTAAAGCACCTATCAAATATTAACCCCTTAATCCCGACAATTCCTAAAATGCTCAATCATTCCCACCCACATACTTACTGAGGAAGCCAAGACACAACAAGGTTAAAAGATGTCAAAGTCAGCAGAGCTAAAATTTGAATTTAAACACCTATTACCCGATTTGTTAGGAAAAGTCCTACAAAAATGCAATGCAACAGTCAGGTCAATCAGGCATGGGAGGGGTTCAAGAAAGGGATCCGAGGCAAAAGAGTTCCCTGAGGGGTCCTTTTCAGAACTGAAATGCTGATTCTGCTTCTGGCACTTTTTGTTTGTTTATTTTGTTAATCCTCACCCAAGGATATTTTTCCATTGATTTTCTGAGGGAATGAGGGGAGGGGGGGAGACCTCTGATTCTGCATTTCTTACAACCTCCCTGGTGCTGGAGATGCTGCTGATCACTAGGAGTAGCAAGGATCTACAGGTTGCAATGGACCACAGACCACAAGAAATGTCTATAGAAACAGAAACGAAAAAAAGGCAAACTACTCCCAAAAACCAGAATGAGGACTTTTCCATATTTTTTTTATATTTCTTTTTTTTTTAATTGATTTCAAAGAGGAAGGAAAGAGGAGAGATAAAAACATCAATGATGAGAGAGAATCATTGATCAGCTGCCTCCTGCACACCCCACACTGGGGATCGAGCCCAAAACCCGGACATATGCCCTTGATCAGTATCAAACCTGGGGGACCCTTCAGTCCACAGGCCAACACTATCCACCAAGCCAAACCGGCTAGGGCTTATCCATACTTCTTGGTGGAATTCTGAACCGTGTAACACCTTAGAAATATCTTCAGCCTTATTTTCCAGTTTAAATTTAGATTTCAATTTCTTGGAGGGTTTTTCCCTTAAAAAATCCTGATATTTATTTATTTATTTATTTATTTATTTATTTATTTATTTATTTATTTATTTTTATCAAGGGCTGAGAAGCCAAGTATATGGAAAACTGGTTTGTTGTGTTTTTTTGTTTTTTTAAATTTTGGTATATATAATTGATTTCAGAGAGAAAGGGAGAAATAGAAACATCAATGATGAGAGAGAACCATTGATGGACTGCTCCTGCATGCCCCCTATTGGGGATGGAGCCCACAACTATGATCATGTGCCCTGATGGAGACTGAATCCTGACCTCTGCTCAACCACTGAGCAAAACCCGAGGGGCAGAAGACTATTTTCAAGTTGTCATACCTTCCAAGCAGGTTCCCATCCTTCACTCACCTCCACATGACCTCTCGCTGTTTAAACTCCAGAGATGAGACAATTGGCAGGGCTAGGTGAGATGTTAGGGGCTGGGCCCCAAAGTTCTTCCAGATGCAAAGGAAAGCTCTGCACCAAGCATGTCAAACTCGGGGCCTTCGGGCCGCATGCCTTGTTTATTTACCCCATGTCAGCCTTTGAGTTTGACATGCTTGCTTGCACACCAAAATAACATCTTAATGTACCCCTGTCTCCCATTTCTGGCCTTAGCTGACCAAGTTTCAGCAATGACGTGATAACGGCTGGATAACGTTTTCTACAAACGACTGGGTTTCCATTTCTTGACCAGATCTTTTGAATGGCAAGTTCTATCTTACTTTCATAAGTCCACAGAGGAAACAAAGCCAGACGCTTAACAAGACCCTATGTTCTACCTGGATCCGAGTTCCTGCCCGGCTCTCTTTTAATTATTTCTGGCTATCTGTGCTGTACTCAAACATTGGCTAGCTGCCTCTCTTTTAAAAGGCGGTGACACACCTCCCCCCCACCTCCTCCATTCTCTTTGCTAACACCAATGCCTCACTACCAACCAGCATACCTCAGAGAGCACAGAGCACTGCAGCTTACAGGACTTACAGGAAAAGGTCGGTTTAAAAACTCTGGGAAGGCATAACTTGCTCCTTTTGTCTTTCCTTAGAGCCCCTCAGCAATACCCTCCAGCAAAGCTGCAGAATAAGCCTTTCACCCAGGAGATATAAAACCGTCTGTATCCTGCAAACACTGGGACCTTTCTTTAAAAGGTGTCCCCCGCATTATGTGAGTCCCAAGGAACGTTTATCCATGGACTCAAGTCAGAAAAAAGCTGGATCCCTGGAAGAAACAAAATGTGCCTATGCTACCGCTCTCTGAGAAGTCTTTCAAGTTTTGCCGCCGGGCCTCCAAGGGAGGCCTACCTGTGACAGGGGGCAAAATGGGGACAGTTTCCCTGACCTGGGGCATGCATGCCTGTCCACAACAGAGCTAAGCAACTACCCGGAGAGGCCTGTTATAAAGCCACAAAAGCGGGGCAGAGCTGACAGGCCCCCTGCCTCGAACACCCCCCTGGAAGCTAAACATAAGAATTCTGAGACATGAGCTCTGCCATAGACAAGTCCAACAGAAAGTTCTCTGTTTCGATTACCTCCCGAACTGGCTGCCCTCCCGGAGTGATTTAACTCTGGGTACCAACCGGGCGATGCCAGCCCCGGTGCTGGGGCGGGAGGACGCAGGGATGCCGGTCGTGGTCGTGTGTTTTGGATTCATTAAGGAATCGGACCTCTACTGTTAACAAACTGGAGACTCTTGTGGGCCGATCTCGGCTCCAAGGGCTCCGTCCCACCAACATGTATGGAGCGTCTATCCTATGCCCGGCGCCGGGGAGGAAACCCAGCCCCGGTCCCCAGCGGTGGGAGCAGAAGCAGACAGAGGAGCACCGTCAGTCGGCAGGGGTGGATGCTGTGCGACCATCTGACACGAGTTGCTAGGATCGGTGGTATCCAGGGGCAACGTGACCTCCCCAGGCCAGAGCATTCAGCCGGCTCGCGACGGCGCAGGCGGGAGGGAGCCGCAGGTAGGCCCGGGGGCAGGTGTCCAGGTGGGAGGCGCACACCTGAGGCTGCCGGGCAGAAGCCCCAGGAAAGGGCGACCCTGGGACCCCCGGCGGGAGGGAGAGGGTGCGAGGAGCAGGGGTCCAGCCCCGCGAAGCGGATGCGCGGCCGAGGCCAGCGGGCCTGCGCCCCGGGAGGGCGGGAGGGAGGGAGGGAGGGAGCGGGGGGGGGGGGGTGAGACGGCGGGCGCGCAGCTAGGCCTCCCGCCCGCACCTGGGGCCCCGCCCGGCACCTACCACTTGGGCGACCTTGAGGCCGCCCGGCGCGCCGCGCAGGTAGTCGGGGTCGCAGCGCAGGCCGGCCAGCCCGCGGCGCTGGCTCACCGGCTCGGTGGTGGGCTGGTACGGGCTGCTGGCGCCCGAGATCATGGAGGTGCTCGAGGCCTCGCCCTCGAAGCCGTCCAGCTCCTCGCCGCTCCGCATGCTGCCGGCGGTCCGGGCCCCCGCGCACGGCCGGCCCCCGGCGCCCGGGGCTGAGGGGCTCAGCGGGGCCGCCGCATCGCCGCCGCCGCCGGACTGCCCGCCCGCCCGCGGCCCGCCCCGCCGCCGCCGCCGCCTCCTCAGCGCCCGCCGCCGGCTGCGGCCACGGCTCGGTCCGCTCGGGCTCGGCTCCCGCCGCCTCAGCAGCGGAAAGGAAAGGAGGCGGGAGCGAGCGGAGAGGGAAGGAGGCGGGAGCCGGCGCGGCGGCCGGGAGGGGGCGGAGCGAGTGCCCGCCCGCCGGCCGCTCGGCGGCGCTCCGAGGCCCCGGGAGGCGGAGGCGGCGGCGGGGCCGGGCGGGGGAGGGGGCGGGGCCGGACGGGGAGGGCGTGGTGGGTGGAAAGGGGTGGGGCGTTATTAGGCCCCGCCCTCACCTGCCTGCGCGCCGGCGAGGGCCGCGGGGCGGCGCCTGGCGATGCCGGAGAGCCGTGGCGGGGGCCGGGGAAGCGGGTTCTGGGGACCGGGAAGCACCGGAGCTGAGGGAGAGGGTCGAGGTCAACCAGGGGCCCCGGGGGTGCTGTCCCGGGGAGCAGCCTCTGGAGGAAGTGGGTTCTCTGCAGGTAGCCGCGCCCTCCATCCGGGTGCTGGGACCGCGCGGCCAGGGTTGGCCGGACGCAGAATGTTTGCTGGCAAGACCCGGGCCAAGCGCCTGGGCTCCACCAGCTCTGAGGCCAGGGGCAGAGCGGGACATGGGGTGTGGGGTAGGGGTGAGTAGGGTCGCTTAGGACCGGTCTGCAGGACAGATACACAGTAAATATCTGTCAATAACTACAATGTGAGTTCTGGGTCCACCGGCCTGCCCCGGGAGGGACGCTAGCACACAGCAGAGTACCTTCAGTGACCCTCTCACTTAGTTGAAAAGGTTTTGCTAATCCAGCCAGGTTAAACACAGGCTTTTGCGCTGGAGGGCATTAATTAGGGACCAATTTGCAATTCAAGTGTGAAGCTTATTAAGTAAAACATTGACTTTCTAAGAATCGTTGCTCTTACACGCCACAGTGTGATGGCCCTGAGCAAGGCACTCGGCGGAGGTATTGCTCCCATTTTACACAAGAGAGGACTGAGACTTCAGCGCAGCAACAGCTTGTCCCAGGACAACACAATTAATTGGTGGGTAGAGTCCAGGTTCCAGCTCTCTTCACTACACAATGTTGCCTAATACACAGCTCAGATGGGCTTGTGAATTCCAAGCTAAGCAGTAAATACCAAAAGGGCTCCCACCTTTTGGTTACCAAAGATGAAACTTAATAATTAGTAATATTCTATTCAATGGGCAAAGATTGGGCACTTAGCTAGGGACTGGAGACTGACAGTCAAGATGATAAGCTGTCTCTTTCTCAGGAGGAGGTTAGAAGAGGACACCACCAGAACAAAGGTTTAAACCAAGGAAGCAGCCCTGGCTGGTGTGGCTCAGTGGATAGAGTGTTTGGCCTGTGCACTGAAGGGTCTCGGGATTGATTCCTGGTCAAGGGCACATACCTGGGTTGCAGGTTCGACCCATGGCTCTGATCAGGGTGCCAGAGGGAGCCAACCAATTGATGTGTCTCTCTCACATCAAGGTTTCTCTCCCTCCCTCTCTCCCTCCCTTCCTCCTTCCCTTCCACTCTCTCTAATATCAATGGGAAAATATCCTTAGGCAAAGATTAATAAACCAAGGAAGGAGAGAACAGAGGGTCCAAGAGAGGGTGGATGCAGCCAAAGAGAGGTGAAGGGGGCAGAGGCCCCTGTGCAGCACGCCTCAGAGTCAACCAGCCCAGAATGGAGCAGCCAGAGACTTCCAGAGACTTCTTCAAAGTGACATTAAGGAAATACTTGGGCTGAAACGGGTTTGGCTCAGTGGTAGAGCATCAGTCTGCGGACTGTAAGGTCCCAGGTTCGATTCCGGTCAAGGGCATGTACCTTGGTTGCGGGCACATCCCCGGTGGGGGGTGTGCAGGAGGTGGCTGGTCGATGTTTCTCTCTCATCGACGTTTCTGGCTCTTTATCTCTCTCCCTTCCTCTCTGTAAAAAAATCAATAAAATATATTTAAAAAAAAAAAAAAGGAAATACTTGGTATACAGCAAAGAAAGATACATAGTTTGGGGAACGTTTTGAAATAAACTAGTGATAAATGCCTAGGAAATAAAGCAAATATTCATAGATATTAATTGCAGGAAAAATAAAATGATTTATAGAAAAGGATAAGTATGGTAAATCACATGGCTCAACTGTGAATAATATTTGCATAATTATGATAATGTAAACAATGAATACTGACCTATCCAAAAGTATGTGACCACATTAGGAGAGGATGGGGTCCAGATGTGTGCACGTGTGATGGAGAGGGAGGTGGGGAGGGTGTGCAAGAGATTGAAATACTCATCATCAGAGGAGAGCAGTAGATGCTTCAAACTGAAAAACCAGGAGGCAGCAGTATATGTGTGTTCATCACAAATACAAAGGTAAGGGGTGGGGGCAGGCTAGAAGGGGTCATTGGGAGGAGAAAAAAGGATATACATAATACTTTCCAATAAGAAAAATATATATAAAGGTAAAAACAAAACTAGCTGAAACCGGGTTGGCTCAATGAATGGAGCATCAGCCTGCAGACTGAAGGGTCCCAGATTCCATTCCAGTCAAGGGCATGTACCTTGGTTTCGGGCACATCCCCAGTGGGGGGGTGCAGGAGGCAGCTGATCGATGTTCCTCTCTCATCGATGTTTCTAACTTTCTATCCTCCTCCCTTCCTCTCTGTAAAAAATCAATAAAATATATTTTAAAACAACAACAAAACTAACCAGTTAAGTTACAAAGTGTTGCCTCTGGAGGCAGGAATTGTAATGGGGGTTTGAGGCCTTGTGGAACTATTGGATTCTCTCAACTATGTGCACTTATAACTTCAATAAAAATAAAATATAAATTAAAAACATTTTTTAAAAAAAGGAGCATGAGCAGAAACCGGTTTGGCTCAGTGGATAGAGCATCAGCCTGTGGACTGAAGGGTCCTGGGTTCGGCTCCAGTCAAGGGCAGCTGATCGATGTTTCTCTTTCATCGATGTTTCTAACTCTCTATCCCTCTCTCTTCCTCTCTGTAAAAAAAAAAAAAAATCAATAAAATACATTAAAAAAAAAAAAAAGGAGCATGAGAGCTCCGGCCAGCAGAGGTGGAGAATAAGCACTGAACCCAGTGAATACACCTGCGTGCACTGAGCGCTGCTCATGGTGGGATGGGGATTTCCAGCAAAGATGTCATTGAGGCTGTGGCTCCAAATTTCAGCTGATATTTGAAATATGAACAGCAATTAGCAAGGCCAAGAGATGAAAAGGGCGGGTGGAAGTGTGTTGTGGGCAAAGGGAACAACATGTGCAAAGGCTCAGACACAAGCAAAAGCAAAGCACAGCTAAGAGGCTCAGGCCCAGAATTCAAGGGGAGGAGGCCTGGCAGACAGACCTAAGCTGAAAGATAACCATGGGCCGGTCTCTGCGGGGTTTCCCGGGCCCCGTGAGAGGGGTGGACTCTGAATAAGCGGGAGAGTGGCCTGGTGAGGCCGTTTAGAATGCTCTCTCTCTCTCCACAAGAGGGAGATAGGTTGAGCGAGGCAAGATTGGAGGTTCTCCTCCAGTGCTTATTGTTTCCTGTCGCTGGACACTAGCCTAAGTTTATTTTTAGTTCCAAGGACAGACTCAAATTTTTCTACTTTTGCTTTTTAACAGAAGTTCACAGACTTCCAAAAGGCGTTGTTGGGAATCCCATATAGTAACAGTAGGTGAAACGTGGTATTTTGGGGCCTTCCTCAGTGTTAAATTTCGATAGAGCACGAATTGGAGGCTACAGCTGTGCCTCCAGGGCGTATACAAGAGCTGAAGTCAAAATGAAGATAAATAAACGATAGAGAAGATAAATGAGTGATAAATGAGTAGGAAGCCAAGCCAGCCTTTGGACAGGGCTCCGGGTTTCAGGGCCTGAGCCACATATCAAGGGCTGAGTCAAGGCAACCGGACTCAGAAGAGACTGATGAATAAACCAGATGCTACTTTATTAGCTGCTGCCAGCGGAAAGAGTCTCCCAGCAACTGTAAGGCTGATTCTTATCTCGGTCCCTGAACTCATCCTGACAGTACATTGGCTGTTCCCCAGGTTACTCTTCTCTACCTGGATCAAGCCTGGCCTCTTCCCAAGTCCCTCAGCCGCTCAGCTCTGGGCTGGTCTCCTTCCAAGGACAACCACCTCCAAGTGGGGGGACTCCTCACTCTAGCCCCTCTCTGCAAGCACACCGATTCCACAGGCCCATGGAGGGTCCTTACTGTCAAAAGCATTGATTCTACAAGGACTTCAGATTCTAAATTCCAGAAGGGCTGGGAGCAAAACACCATCCCAAACTGTGGTCCTGCAGGCTCTGCCCCTGGAGGCAGTGCCTGATAATGGTGGTGGGGGAGGGGGAGTAGCTTTTCCTGTAACTCCAATTAAACAGCAGATCAAATCTACTACTACTTTTAATAAGCTCAGTAATTAGCAGGAGCCCTAAACACTTCTATCTCAGCAGAAAAATATAAACAGTGGTAGTGAGCCCTAGCCAGTTTGGCTCAGTGAATAGAGCATTGGCCTGCAGACTGAAGGGTCCCAGGTTCAAATCTGGTCAAGGGCACATGCCTGGGTTGTGGGCTCCATCCCATTGGGGGACTTGCAGGAGGCAGCCAACCAATGATTCTCTCTCATCGATGTTTCTATTTCTCTTTTCCTCTCTCTTCCTCTCTGAAATAAAAAACATACATATTTTTTATTTCATTTTTAAAAATATATTTTTATTGATTTCAGAGAGAAAGGAAGAGGAAGAGAGAGACAGAAACATCAATGATGAAAGAGAATCATTGGTCGGCTGCCTCCTGCACACCTCCCACTGGGGATGCAGCCTGCAATCCAGGCATGTGCCCTTGACTGGAATCAAACCTGGAATCCCTCAGTCTGC